AAGTCTGAAGCTACTGAACGCTTAGTAAAAGTTGTACATGGTGTTATACTTGTTGTTATGCACAAATTATCAAGCTGTGGTGTCCAAATCATTCCCAAAGTCTTAGCTGTTTTGAACGAACAAGTAGAAATATCCCAACAGACTTCTTGATCATGTGGTGAAATGTTTTGTAGCAATTGTGGGTGATTAGCGCACCATTTTCTTGGCTTAAAACCATATGATTTCAAAATGTTAATTAGTTGTTCTTGAATCACCTTAGCCTCTATCAGACTGTTAGAACCACATAATCCATCATCGACATAGAAATCTCTTCGTAGGGTCTCTGCTCCAAATGGATAAGTACCAGAACTTTCTCTTGCTAAAGTTTGTAAACATTTGGTAGCTAAGTATGGAGCTGATCGAGTCCCATATGTCACAGTTTTTAGTTTATAAAATCGTAGCGGCTCTTGTGGATTATTTCTCCAAATGATTAATTGTAGCATTTGATCTTCTGGGTGAATAAGTATTTGCCTATACATTTTCTCAATGTCCGTTGTGAAAGCGTATCTTGGAATTCTGAATCGTAATAATATTGAGAATAGATCGCTCTGTACCACAGGACCAGTATGCATAATGTCATTCAATGATCGACCTGATGAAGTTTTACTAGATGCATCAAACACAACACGTAATTTTGTCGTGGTGCTATCTGGTTTTATCACGCAATGATGAGGAATGAAATAATGTGAGGCCATGATGTCATCAGGTTGAATTTCTTCCATGTGACCGAGATCTTTATACTCAGTCATAAACTGCACGTATTGAGCCCTTAATGCTTCATTTTTTGACAGCCGTCGTTCAAGAGAGAAAAATCTGCGTTGTGCAATTTCACTAGAGGATCCTAATGTTGATACACTGTCAATAAGTGGCAATTTCACAATAAATCTGCCTTCTTTAGTACGTTTCAAGTTTTCCACAAAATGAGTTTCACATAATTTTTCTTGATCAGACAGTAGTTTTGAATTTTGTGCTGATTCTTCAAGATCCCAAAATCGGACGAGAAGATTATTTAGCGAATCTTCTTCTTCGCTAAACATACAACAGACTGTGTCACCTTTTGCTGTTTCTGATAGTTTGCCACTTACAACCCATCCAAGAGTAGTATTCTGGAGTATTGGTTTGTCGACTCCCAATTGGATTTGCCCTGACGTTAAGAGATGTGGATAAAATTCAGCTCCTAATAATACGTCTATTTTTTGTGGCTCATTGAAGTTAGGATCAGCTAATGTAATATTTTTTGGAATGTTCCATGAACTGATATTGACACATTGTGTTGGTTGTGGAGCAATAATATGTGGTAACACAAATGCTTCTAAATTTGTATTGAAATTGCTATTCATTGATTTAAAGACAGTGCTGATTCTTTGACGAGCACCCTTTGTGGTGTTACCAACTCCATTTATACGCATTGATGTTGCTTTTGGAGTTATTCCTAGTCGATGAGCTACCCTCTCGGTCATTAAATTAACTTGAGAACCTGAGTCTAATAATGCTCTACATTGAATTTCTTGGCCGTTATGTGCCAATAATCTTATAGTTGCTGTTCCTAAGAATACATATTGCTGTTCATTGTGCTTTCTTGCAATAGTTAATGATGCTTGATGATCAACGCTTAAACCTGTGCTTACATTGCGTTGAGTATTGTTCGACTTTGGTATTGTTGTATGTTTTTCAGTGCCATTAACCCATGAGTTTACATGTAGTAAAGAGTTGTGTTTTTGATTACATTTGATACAATTGCCTGATTTACAGTTGTATGCTATATGACCTGGTCGCAAACAGTTACGACATAAGTTTTGTTTTTTAACAAATTGTAGTCGTTCAAAAGTATTTGCTTGTAAGAACCCTTTGCATTGGTATATTTGATGTAAATCTTGCTTACAATATATGCATGATTGCCTGGTTGATTTGTTGATTGTTGCGGTATTACATACCTTTACGTTATTATTGGTAGTACTCTTTTGGCCGATTGCTTCCAGAGTTTGAAAACGTGTTTCAATGAAACTTAGAAACCCTGTCATTGATTGTAATTCCTTTGGCCTTGCCAATGATTGCTCATACAACGTATGTGTAGTTGCATCCAGCTTCTTTGTTAATAAATGAAGGAGGAGTGGATCCCAATGAACTGTTTGAACATTTAAGTTATTTAATGCCAACAAACATTCATGTATGACATCATGTAGTGACTTTAGAGACATTGCAGTGCCAGAGCATTGAGGTTGTCCGAGCAGCCGTTGTATTAACATGGTTGTTAATATCCTCTTATTCCTGTATCTCTCCTGAAGTATCTTCCATGCTACGTCGTAACTATCATTGGTAGTTGGCAGATGTCTGATGAGCCTCTCTGCTTCTCCTGATAAATTATTTTTTAAAAACCACATCTTTTGTACCTTGGGTAGTGATTGGTTGTCTACCATTTGAGAGAACATATCATAAAATTGTGTCCATTTAAGATAATCTCCGTCAAATCGCGGTATAGACACCTTCGGTAATTGGATTGGATTGTTAGTTACCTCTGTTGTAACTACATGTGGTTGTTTTGTTATTATCAGCTCAGAAATTGAAATCAAAGTTTGTTGTATTAATTCCTCTAATTGTTGATAATCGTCTATATTGTAACCAATTGATAGTGGGTCACTAGCGATTTCCCATATATTAAAATTGAGTTCCTCAATTTCTTGCCACAACTTGTTGATTTTTATTTTGTATATTTCCAACGCAGTAAACGTGTTTGATCCCAAATCTCCTTGGACCTTCTCCAATAGTCGTTTTAATGATATTTTCATTCCCATTTGCTTGTTAATGAGACATGAAATTTCTGTTTGTTTAGATACTTGCGACTTCTTGCTGAGATTTGCTTCATCACTGAACTCCTGTAGTTGCTGAGTGAATCGAGCAATGTAACATTCTGCTAAGTCTTTAGTTTTTAAATAATCCTCATTAGTAAAATATTCATGAGTGGTTTCGACATCTGACAACTCTCTGATACGGTTGTCATTTTCTTCAAATTCAGACCATATATTAGTTAAACGCCTTTTACGTTCTTCAAAGTAAGCTTTATTCAATTTCCTTTCTTTTGGATCCTTTTTGAAATTCGAAATCAATTTCTGGATTAATTGACCCAGTTGTTGCTGTTCGAGAATTAACCCCTCAAAAGTTTCCATATTTGTTTCCAGCAAATCAGGTACCTTGGTGCTTGTAATGTGTTCGCAGCTCACACTGTTGTGCTCTTGCTGTTTTATTGAAAGCTCACACTTGTTGTGCTTTTGCCTTTTATCTGCTTGAAGCTCACACTGTTGTGCTCTTGCTTCGACGCCTTAATGAAGTAGTATGTGATCGTGATCTTTGGTCACGTCCTTGATTTACGTCCTTGATCTACGTCGATCACGTCGGGGTCACCAAATTTTATGTATATTTTAAATACCTTAATCCTTATAATAGTCAATAAGTACTTTAACTTATTGAATATTGCTTATTGGTTATAGATTAAGCACTTGAAACTTACTCTATATAAAGCAGAATTAGGTTTTTAGACGAGAATCAAAGAATAGTTTTTATTGATTGATTACTTTCTTTATTGTTTCAATTTCTTTTATACAATTTTTGTGCAATAATTTTATTAATAATAATTATACCTCAGCAACAAATTAATTGGAACACTGTTAATAATGCAAAATGCAACGTTGCATATTTCACCGTTGCTCCAGTTAAGTTGTTGCCTCAGCTTAACATAAATATTCAAAATAAATTATTTCACAATTGCTAAATTGCTTAAAATATAAATTGAATGACACAATTTAACAATGTGAAATAATTTATTTATTACTTAATTTCTACCTTAACACACCCATTCTTGTTTCATACTTAAATGCACACACTAATTTAATCCTCACTGATGTTTAAATTCGTCCCAATAAAATGGTAATATTCCTTCACATCAATTTAGGCTGGGTTTAATATTGTCACCTATAACTTCCTGCATTGCTATTTTTTACCTGATTACTTTTGCTATCCTAACTAATGTTCAAGTTTTGTCATTCTTATATGTGCTTGCGTTGTAAGTTCCGCTTCTTTGCGACAACAACAAACGCAATAACAATAGTTAACGAGGTTGCGAATATTCAAAATATGGAATTCAACAAAATAGTCTCTTTTTCTAATCTATTTTTCTTATATGTGCCCTAATTTCATTTATATCAATAGTGTTGTAGTTTACTGTTCAAAAAAACCTTTTTATGAAATATAATAAGTTTCTATTAAAATATAATAGTCACTTTCGTCTGGAAAATTTGACGTTAAATTAAAACTTATATTCACAAAATATTGGTCTTGCCCGTGCGAGTAGATTTACGTTCCTAGATTAGGTTCTATACATAAGAAAGAACAAATCATGCAACAAATAATGCCTCCACGAAAAGAATAGTATTGAAATTTAACAATTAAAAATAAAAATATAATTAATTATTAATTCAATTATTCTACAGCTGGTTTATGATTTCGTTCTAATATATATAAACACAGCAAATAAAATTGTTAATAAAAACTTTCATAGCAAAAGTAACAAAACTTCAGAAAAATATGCGAACAAAAAAGTCAAGTACGGCTTTGGATCAGTTCGTTAAGGTGCGCTGATTCTGAGCTTCACATTTGGCAGGACCCGAGTTCGAATCCTGGTACTTGCAGTCTCAAACAAAAAAAAAAATTATTATTTACGAATAATTAAATACAAGAATTATTTCGAAGACCACTGATGATGGGTATTTGGCAATACTCGAAACAGCTGTATGGTTAGCCAAAAATTCAATTAATTAAAATAATAAAATATAAAATTTTTGTTGTTGTAGTTCACTACTGTTCGAAAAAACCTCTTTATCAACAATTTTTTAAATAATTATGTAGGCAATATACATAATAAATATCTAGTTTTATTATAAAATAATTAATCTCCAACTTTTTTTCAGGCGCATGCATAATAAGCCGCTTTGCATCGTGGCTATCAACAGTATGGGTTTCATTACAGGCAGTACTGGCAGTGGCCTACATTGGCATGTTTTTCGTCAGTTCGATGCCATTTAAGCAGTGCGGTGGCAATGTTAAACTTGAAATGGTAACTACTCATAAAAATTATAAATAAAGAAAAAAATAATATTGCATATTGATCCTTTTAAATTGTTCCTCTATCTCTCTGTCGCTTTTTAGGATGGCTATACTGTAGTTGGAAACAGTGGTCAGGAATGTTTGCAAAAAACGTTTCTAACACCATTTTGGGAGAATCCGCTCTATTTTGGCTTGTTAACCATTGGTTTAATATTTATTTGGTTTATTGTGATGCTGTGGTAAGATATGAGTTAAGTTATCTATTTTCACAATTTAACACCTTTCTTTTTTACTTATAGCACACATAATAGTAAAGTATTGCGGCGCAGTCTTTTCTTCTTCGGCGTCATTGGATTTTTTATGCTGTGCTGCTTGGCTGGTTGGGAAGTAAATAATTCATTAAATCGCTCTTACTTTCCGCAGTTGTGGCCCTTCGATTCTACCTTACTGCTTGAGAGTAATATTTGGTTTAATGCTTTGATGCAAGTATTATTCTCCATTAACTGTGGATTCGGCGCTCTCCCAATGCTTACTGGCAAGTTCTTGTACAAGGGCGATGCGGTGCGCACATCTATAGTCTATCTCTGTTTTAATTTACTGGTCAATGCTATTGCCGTTACATTATTTATGGTACAATTTGATCTATCCGCAAACAGTGGCTCCATTATTGATGAACTAAAGCCTTTAACATCTATCTATGATCGTGTACTCTACGATAGACCAACCACTGATATCTTGGTAAAATTAATACCTTCACTCATATTTGGTTTAGTGCTGATCGCTGCTTTGGTCTCGATTACTGTGGCCATTTATACATCGACACGTTTAGTGCCGCGTCATCCTAACTATGTTATATGTTTGGTTGCACTTGTTGTGTGCATCATATCATTAGCAGCACCGAGATTTATGATTGCCAGAATTCTTGATACACGCATAGTAGGCACAATGGTTATAACAGCTCTAATATTCGAACTAATAGCAACCACTTGGATTTATGGCGCAAAGAATATATATACTGATTTGGAATTCTCTATTGGTCGACCAATTTTTAAGGGCTGGATGGTGTTATGGTGTATTAGTCCTGCCATATTAACTGGTTTACTAGTTTGGTGGTGTTCAGATGATGATCAATATGATTTGCTAGCTGAATATATGCCACGTTGGGCACCAATACTGTTTGTATTGGCTATAATATTTTTCATTGCGGGCATACAGATTTTCCGTCAAGTAGAGTATAATTTCTTTGGAATGATATGTGAAGCTTCAAAATCAGCTAAAGAATGGGGACCTGCTGATCCATTAGCGAGACATGCTTGGAAGCAGTGGCGTTCAGTTTGTCAAGATACCGGACAACGTGATTTTACATTAAGACGTCGTGGCACACGTGATTATACACATTCCATCAAAAAAGGTCAGTACTCCTCGTCTAGTAAATATGTACCAGGCCAAATAACACAGCCGAATTGGAAATCATCTACACCAGGCAATAGTTCACCGAACTACAGTGGCTCCATGTTTGGAGATTCGGCAATTGAGGAAGATATTAGTGTTGAGAAATTTCCGGGTATTTCACAGCAATTTGTGCCATTTCAAGCCAATGATGGCAAGCCTTTGAGACTATCACATCGTCAACGTATGCAGCAGTCACGTTCACATATGGGACAGCAACAACATCGCTCACAGCCAGAAGAACTACAACATGGTTCTGTAGAAAATGTAGGAGAGAAACATAGGGAAATTGTTTATATTAGACGTATGTCCGGAGAAGGACAACATGCAACACGTATTGAAATAACACCATCAAATGAGAACATAACATACGCTAATGGTGGCGTACGCAACCCACTTGGTCGATCTAATGGTTCAATCGGTAACGGTCTGAGTCGTTCATCTTCCAATTCTAATTGCATGGAACATAATCGAAATTCAGCTGTAAGCGTTGTCGGCCACAAATTGCCACCGCAAACAGAAGTCAGCAGTGGAGATCACATTTGCTGGCGAAAATTCTCTGTCAATCCAGCAGAATATTCAACCGAATTGTGATTTATTACAATATTTTTTTTTTTTTTGAATGCGCCCAAAATATTAGTACGTAGAAATACAAACATACACAGGAAAAGACTTTTTGTACCCAAGAGAAATTAATTAATAAAATAATGGAAAGATATATAAATAAAATATACATATATGTATGATATATTAAATAGTTTTAAGTTAAAATATCATTCCATTAGGAATTTATTGCATATATCGTTTTGCAAACTTTATATTAAAAATATGTTGCCTATAACTAAATTAATTAATATTTTAATATTTCATAAACATGTGTTATGGAACTTTTTTTAAAGTGTATATATAGTCGTGTAGCTTTAATTCAATCCAAATTTGATATCATTGAATAAATATTAATAAGTAATCGAATAAATATATATACTTATATAAATACTTAAGAGCAAATTATAAGCATTTAAATAAATATTTTAAGATATCCAGTTAGAGTTAAAGTTAAAATAAATTGGTTTAATAATACTAAAAATACTTGTGTAATTTATGAATAAAATTTTAATTAAAATAAAATTATTAAGCGGAAAATAAACTTATGTAAATATTTATGTACAATACATATAACATGTATGGTTGAATCTAATCAGAATTATAGAATTATATTTTTATATATTTATAAGAAATGTATGCAACGAAAACTTTAAAATTATCAAAAATAAAATTAAATGCGAAACAAAAAATTATTTTTTTTTAAATTTTATTTTTTTTGTTAATATTCAAATTAAAAGGTTTTTTATTTTAAATTTTGAATTTAAATTTTTTGTTTTATTTTTTAACTTCGATTTTTTAATTCCGATCTCATATTAAATCTTTATCAAGATATATTGTATGTTCTGAAAGTTCATTAATGGTAGATAATAAGACTTCAAAACACGTGTCAAGAGTTTACCCTGCACAGATCCATGAACGAAAAAAGTACGTAAGTGGGCATCTCATATTGGATGAAAAATAGAACTTTATATTGTAGCTGTAATACTATAATTTATAGATGAAGTTGAAGTGAATTCGAGAATTATTTTAAGTCTATAAAAGAGACACAATAGATCTCAATTTACCAGGGCAAATTCCGCCAATATATAATAATAATAAATAATTTTTATTTATTTTATTTTATTTTAATTTAATTTAATTTAATTTAATTTAATTTTATTTTATTTTATACAATGATTTTGTTGTAATTATTTACCATATATGAATTTTATGTTTCCTTTATTATTAAATAGCCGTATGTTTAATTTCATATAATCTGCAGAGTTAAACCTTTTATTTAATGTTCTTTTGAATGTTTAATGATAATAGCCTTAAGTATATTAAAAATGCGATTAAAATATGATTCATGATGTAGAATACAGCTATAGTATCATGAGTCAAACCAATGAAAAAAATATTTTCCATAGATATATAATTAATAAAGTGTAAATAATAAGGAACAGCAACTGCATATCAATATGATTTATTTTATTTTAGTTAATTTTTTCACTTTCAACACAATTCGATTTAACTATTATTTTTTAATTTTTAAGAATCATGTTCAAAAATCAATCTCAAAATTATCTCCAAGATGAAAGCAGTTTTTAGACAAAACTAAAAAAATAATCAACTGAGAAACAAAAACAACGTATAGTAGTTTCACAGAGGTAAAACATATTATATAGATGCACATAGATAATATGTACAGACATCGTATTTAAAAAATTTTATTTAGTGCGGGTGGAGTTTCCTTTCGTATCCAAATAGTATATGAACGCCGTTTTGTTATTACAAACCCGATCATAAAAATCTTTGTTTAAAAACCAGCCTAGACTGGTTAATCTTTGTTTAAGAAATTATTTTTTAAAGGTTTACGTTTCGGATGTTGGCCATACCAATTCGTTCGTAGGTTTCATAGTGGGATGTTTAGATATTGCAGCGCCTAAGATTTGCCAAGAAAGTGTTCAGTTGTTTCTTTGTCCATTTCTTGAAGTTCTGCATTTCTGGATGAAATAAACATAGAACACAAGTTTTTGAGAGATCTTTTTATGATTTTAATCTTTGTTGTTATTATAAATTTTAGAAGTTCTTAAAAAACTTAATGAGAAGAAAATACGAAAAATTGTATGAAGTGGAAAATATAGGATAATTTTAATTATAAAAATTGGTATACAATTTTGAAATGATGATATCAATACGTGATAATTATATTTAGAATAAAACAAATGTATCAATGGAGTATATTTTAGGTGGAAGAGTTGAAGTTTAATTATATATTACAAACAGTAAGATTTATTATATTTCAAGTTGAGTTAACGACTACTCTTTCTATCTCCAGAAACAACTGAACTTTTATTTTTGGAATGGTCAGGACTGGTAAGATTAAAACTTTCCACTTTAGAAGTCTATGAACTAATAATTTTGGCTAATATCTCAAACGTAGATCTTAAAAAATGAGCTAAATTATCAACCACGTAGATTGGTTTCAAATCTTAGAATGTTATGGTTGCGTGTGTGGTAAGAAAATGGTATTTAGTAGCTATTTCGATGGAAGACAAACGCTTGTTGCTTCGGAAACCAATGAATCAACTGGTATCGAAATTTTTGATTAATTTCATAATAAGCTAAGTAAGTGATTATAGTTGGAAATTTGCGCCGCTTCTGAGAAAATCATCGATCAAGACAATTGGATGACATTGTGAAAATAATTAATTGCAATGAGAACTCCTAGAAGATCATAATAAGGGTCATAATAAGTGTTGTTGGAATTTCAAGTATTAGATTCTTTTGCTCTTCAGTAAACTTATGATGAAAAATGCTTGTTTTGTACAAATGATTAAACTTGTAGAAAATTCTTTGTTATAAGTTTCAGCAGAAGAGCTAAGAATTATTAAAATTTTTAGTGAGAAATCATCGATTACACAGCAGTGTTGGTATTGTAAAAATAATTAATTGTAATAAGAAGTTTCGAAAGAACAGAAGGATCACAGAAGGATCATTATTTTTAGGATCACAATTTTTATCAAGATTCTTTTTATCTACGACAATCTTTCAATAGTAAAATAATCCATTGAAACCTAATGACATCGTAAAAATAACATACTAGTACAATAAGTTTTGAAAGAATCGGAAAATCATTAATACATGGACTGGTTACTGCGTAGGATACTCAATAAAACAGCAACTTTATTGCAAAATTTAACTTCATTCATCAATGTAGTTTGTTTAAATAATGATACTACCAGTGTAGCGCTTCTCAACCTTTTTAATACCCCACTTGTAGATTGCTTCATCTCAAATGGCCCTAAACTTTGCTTCAGTTTCCGCGATGACTTTTCATCGAAGACAAATCTCTTTTCTTAGAACATTTTTTTGCGAACACATTTTTATATGTGGCGAATACGGTGTGTGCAGAAGAAATTTCTATTTTAATGTATAATTTGTGCAATTTGGCATTGGTAGCTAACAACTTGTGACACAGGGTTTTGTCTTGGTAAAAGAGAACTATTTTATTCTTCATATGGGGCTGTTGTTTCGTTATTTTATTTCTTCAGATAGTTTGATATTTTTCAAGGTATCGGATAAATAAAATTCTCCCCGTATTTCACAATGTGGACGTCATATTCTTGCTGGTAATCTGAACCGTTTTTGGTAACATAGGGTGAGATTCGCTAGTTGCTGCACATTCTATTGACTGCTGATTCGACTCTGGTGTGATGTGGTTTCGGCTGTTACACTTATCGATGGAAAGAGACGATTTCATCATGCCTTAACAGTTCCAAACAGAACTTAGAATCATCCACACGTTGTTGTTTTTGGTCAAGTGTCAGCAAACACAGCACTCACTTCGGAAAGAGCTTTTTAATAGACTTGTAATTCCTTTAATCTGTGTTGAAATTTTTTTGATTCATCAAACGTTCGCCAACAATTTTAGTTTCCAAAGAGAACGTACAGCTATTATAGGTTTTTCACATTGATAAAATCGAAAAAAATTCATTTCTTATTTCTTCATATGAACGAGAATATATTTTAACGATGGTTATGTAGAACTTGTCAATGATATAAATATTTTTAAGAATATCAGAATAAGTTACTCCGCATATTAAATATGTAAATTAGTTTTGATAGTAAAATGAGTATGATTCAAGCCGTCAGAAATATATAGCATTATAAACATATATATACATAAGAACTTAAATCTGCACATCTACAAACAAAAATATATGAAGGACATGGTCTAAAAATTGTTTCCAAAAGTAGCGAATCATGAAAATATAACTTTAAACATATTAAAACATCGATAGTAAAAGAAGTTAAGTATTTTAAAATGTCCCAACACAAAAGGGTCTAAATGTATATACTTAATTTCAACAATGTAAGAGTATAATTTATATACCAATTTGAAGAACTAATTAATTGCAGTAAGTACTCCTCAATTCAGCACATCTAGTAGCTCTGCAATAGTTTTTAGCTGACGAAAATGGTATTAAGAAGTTCTTACTTGTGTCCAGATGTGGTATTCTTTCAGTTACCCATATATGTGTTCAAGTATTTAGTGAATATATTAGTATTTAAGGTAGTTTGTATTGTCAACTTACATCTTGGATAATACTAAATAAACTACAACTAATTGGAAGCCAAAGAGCTGAAGTTAAAGCGAATATATTTCTGGCTCAGCTTAGAACATGTACAGAGATTAAAAGGGATAGAATTCAGAAAACTAAATAAACCGAATAAATTACAAAATAATTTAATAAAGTTACTATATAATAAAGAACAATGTTCATTAATTTAATTTTCTAAATAATTAAATTTATTAAATTATTATTTATTTCATATAAGTATTAAAATATCTGTGTTATTGAATACAGATATCCTATTAAATAATTAAAAATATATTTGAATTTTTACTAGTCATTTTAATCAAAATGCGGATTTTAGATTAAGGAGTAATTATGTATGTTTAAATAAGCTGAAGATTAAAAATTAATCTTTATCTCTTAAGAATATCAATATTATCATTAAAAAATTCTTTTACTATGTGTTGAACGGATGTTCTTTTATATTATTATTGGCTGTGATGTGATTTATTACCTCTAGTAATGAAATATATTGTTAAA